GGTGAGAATGAAGACGAAGATGACTATGATTTTGAGGGCTTTGATAATGCGATTTTTGAGACATTAAGAGATGCTGGCGAGGAAGATTTGCAACTTTCTGATGTGACTGAGTGGTTAGATAATGATGCTGATGATCCTGGTTATGGTGAATTAACTGATGATGAGATTATCCAGTGTGTTACTGGTAATGCTGATGAGGATGCGGAAGAGGAGGAAGATACCTGTAGCATGTTACCTATTCCATATGCTGCATCATTGCAAAACCTTAATCAGCTGCTTGATATGGTTGCTGTAACTGATGATGAAGACGTGGCAGATTATTATCTACACCTAAGGGGATTGAAAGATATTATAATGAAGAAGCTCATAATGAAGAAACAAACTAAGATTCAAAAGTTTTTGGTACAGCTTAACAGTAGGCCTACAGGACCAGCACCCAGCACTAGCAAGGACTCACCTGAGGATGCCCAGGCAACTGGACCAGCACCTAGCACTAGCAAGGACTCACCTGAGGATGCCCAGGCAACTGGACCAGCACCTAGCACCAGCATGGACTCACCTGAGGATGCCCAGGCAACTGGACCAGCACCTAGCACTAGCAAGGACTCACCTGAGGATGCCCAGGCAACTGGACCAGCACCTAGCACTAGCAAGGACTCACCTGAGGATGCCCAGGATACTGGACCAGCACCTAGCAAGGACTCACCTGAGGATGCCCAGGATACTGTACCAGCACCTAGCACTAGCATGGACTCACCTGAGGATGCCCAGGATACTGGACCAGCACCTAGCACTAGCATGGACTCACCTGAGGATGCCCAGGATACTGTACCAGCACCTAGCACTAGCATGGACTCACCTGAGGATGCCCAGGATACTGTACCAGCACCTAGCACTAGCATGGACTCACCTGAGGATGCCCAGGCAACTGGACCAGCACCTAGCACTAGCATGGACTCACCTGAGGATGCCCAGGCAACTGGACCAGCACCTAGCACTAGCATGGACTCACCTGAGGATGCCCAGGCAACTGGACCAGCACCTAGCACTAGCAAGGACTCACCTGAGGATGCCCAGGCAACTGGACCAGCACCTAGCACTAGCAAGGACTCACCTGAGGATGCCCAGGCAACTGGACCAGCACCTAGCACTAGCAAGGACTCACCTGAGGATGCCCAGGATACTGTACCAGCACCTAGCACTAGCAAGGACTCACCTGAGGATGCCCAGGCAACTGGACCAGCACCTAGCACTAGCATGGACTCACCTGAGGATGCCCAGGCAACTGGACCAGCACCTAGCACTAGCAAGGACTCACCTGAGGATGCCCAGGCAACTGGACCAGCACCTAGCACTAGCAAGGACTCACCTGAGGATGCCCAGGCAACTGGACCAGCACCTAGCACTAGCATGGACTCACCTGAGGATGCCCAGGATACTGTACCAGCACCTAGCACTAGCATGGACTCACCTGAGGATGCCCAGGATACTGTACCAGCACCTAGCACTAGCATGGACTCACCTGAGGATGCCCAGGATACTGGACCAGCACCTAGCACTAGCATGGACTCACCTGAGGATGCCCAGGATACTGGACCAGCACCTAGCACTAGCAAGGACTCACCTGAGGATGCCCAGGATACTGTACCAGCACCTAGCACTAGCAAGGACTCACCTGAGGATGCCCAGGATACTGTACCAGCACCTAGCACTAGCAAGGACTCACCTGAGGATGCCCAGGATACTGTACCAGCACCTAGCACTAGCATGGACTCACCTGAGGATGCCCAGGCAACTGGACCAGCACCTAGCACTAGCATGGACTCACCTGAGGATGCCCAGGATACTGTACCAGCACCTAGCACTAGCATGGACTCACCTGAGGATGCCCAGGATACTGTACCAGCACCCAGCACTAGCATGGACTCACCTGAGGATGCCCAGGCAACTGGACCAGCACCTAGCACTAGCATGGACTCACCTGAGGATGCCCAGGATACTGTACCAGCACCTAGCACTAGCAAGGACTCACCTGAGGATGCCCAGGATACTGGACCAGCACCTAGCAAGGACTCACCTGAGGATGCCCAGGATACTGTACCAGCACCTAGCACTAGCATGGACTCACCTGAGGATGCCCAGGCAACTGGACCAGCACCTAGCACCAGCAAGGACTCACCTGAGGATGCCCAGGATACTGTACCAGCACCTAGCACTAGCATGGACTCACCTGAGGATGCCCAGGATACTGGACCAGCACCTAGCACCAGCAAGGACTTACCTGAGGATGCCCAGGCAACTGGACCAGCACCCAGCACTAGCATGGACTCACCTGAGGATGCCCAGGATACTGGACCAGCACCTAGCACCAGCAAGGACTCACCTGAGGATGCCCAGGCAACTGGACCAGCACCTAGCACTAGCATGGACTCACCTGAGGATGCCCAGGCAACTGGACCAGCACCTAGCACTAGCAAGGACTCACCTGAGGATGCCCAGGATACTGTACCAGCACCTAGCACTAGCATGGACTCACCTGAGGATGCCCAGGCAACTGGACCAGCACCTAGCACCAGCAAGGACTCACCTGAGGATGCCCAGGATACTGTACCAGCACCTAGCACTAGCATGGACTCACCTGAGGATGCCCAGGATACTGGACCAGCACCTAGCACCAGCAAGGACTTACCTGAGGATGCCCAGGCAACTGGACCAGCACCCAGCACTAGCATGGACTCACCTGAGGATGCCCAGGATACTGGACCAGCACCTAGCACCAGCAAGGACTCACCTGAGGATGCCCAGGCAACTGGACCAGCACCCAGCACTAGCATGGACTCACCTGAGGATGCCCAGGATACTGGACCAGCACCCAGCACCAGCAAGGACTTACCTGAGGATGCCCAGGCAACTGGACCAGCACCCAGCGCTAGCCATAACTTACCTGGGAGTGCCAATTGAGCTGTACAACACAGTTCTAATGACATAAATGTACAAAGTGTAAAAAGTGTAGTTTAAGTGATACAGTACAGTATACGTTTACTTAAGTACTGTAGTGTGATTCTAGTGGTTTGTACTTTATGTACAGACTGTAGTGTATAATGTACATTTGTTAGAAAAGTTACTGTTCCTTAATGAATTTATATTCATATCATATCTGGCACTCTCAGGGTATTGAGGCTAAAAGTCTGCACTACACAACTCAACTGTTAAGGTAAGTACAGCAAAACACAGAAACAATTTATTGCTAGATTTATAAACTAGATTTTAGATTTATAAAGATTACATAAATTAAGGTTAATTTTTTTTTTTTTTTTTTGGGGGGGGGGTCAGAGGGGGTTTTTTGGGGCCGGACGGATGGAACGAATTCCGCACTGGAACGAATCGGCCTCGCCCCATATAGTTCGTTCAAGTGAGGACACACTGTACTTATATATAATGTGTGTATTAGCGTAATAACAGCAAAAGGATTATGCTGGGAGGAGCCATATGGGTGACGGAGGTGACGTCGTCTGCACGATTTGTCTAGCTGTTTAGAGGGTGGCCACTATGCTCTTTGGGCGCACTACAAGCTTAGGTGTACAGTTACAGTGCATAAAACATGTAGATACTTATATATAATATGTGTATATAGGGTAATAACACTGCAAACAGTATTGTTGGGGTAGAAAGTTTAGTGCGTGTGACCTTGAATGAGTGAGGGAGCCGCCAGCCGCCATCTGTGTATAGCGACGACTCTTAGTGCCTGAACTAACTATATCAGCTTAGCTGTACAGTTGTGGTGAACAAAATATATACATACTTATATATAATGTCTGTATATAGTGTAATAACACCACAAATGGTATTGTTGGGGAAGAAAGTTTAGTGCGTGTGTTGAGGGAGTGGAAGCGAGTGGCTGGCTGGTGTGTGGCGGTAACTCTTCGTTGCTTTTCGACTTTCAATACCAACTTAGTGGTTCGATATGGTGACCAAAACATGCAGATACTTATATATTACCTGTGTATAGAGTGTAATAGCAGCAAAACTATATGTTTATTGTTTTATAAACATAATAATTGAATCACTAATATGCACATCATACTTTTGAGTATAGCGATTATTCACCAATTTTATTATATAAATATATTACAATACACACATATTACTGCAAAAAAACTAAGAAAAAATCAGTCGGAGACATTGAAACAATTAGGTAATAATATCTTTGTGGCAACTCCCACCTGTCAGCGCGGGTGACGCTGACCAGGTCTGACGACCGCTCTGTCAACGCCCACTTTTTGCCAGACTTCCTCGGTCAATTGCACCCAAAATATGTCACCTACGATTTTTTTTTATTTTTCCCGTGCTCTGGGGACACAAATTAACATGTTTAGTAGACGAAAAAAAAATTTTGATTTTTTTTTTCTTGCGCACAGGGGTGTAAATGTCCCCAGGACCCCTGAGCAGTGTAAGGGTTAATGGTAGGATGTAGCTCACTGCGGCTGTCCTTTTTTCCCACCTTCCCCATAGAAATGTTTTGGGGGCTGTGTCCCAAGTGAGTAAGTTGCGACTCGGGACCCTGTGTTACCTGGATGGTCAGCTACATTAGAATTAGTGTTGTTCACCTATGGCAAACTAACATATTGGTTACTTTTCTGCTCGCCAAACACCTCCTCACCTCAGAGAGTGCCAGAGTCTCGTCCTGACTCCAGTAGGTCTGTGTGGGGCTCAGTGGCCTGATATGACCTGTAGGCTTGGCAGTACTATGGTGTAAGCACAGGGAAGCTACCAAGGGTCTTCCAGAAATGGGAATTTCATTACATTTAATGCTAGATTTTTTATTATTGTATCTTTGTTTTAGTTTTTCTATTTGCTCACGTGTTTCTTCTGGGCTGATGTCTCCCAACCCCTTGAGAGTTAGAAACTGAGGAAATAAAATGTTTAGTATTGTAGTTTAGAAAAGTATTTGTTGTGCAACTGTGGCATGTATTTAAGACTTTAATATATTCTACCCACAGAGTTAATGTTTATGGAAGCCAGTGCTTTAACGGGGGAAAATGTCGAAGAAGCTTTCTTGAAGTGTGCAAAGAGTATCCTCGCGAAGATAGAAACAGGTATGCAAATAGCTTTCTTTTCACTCATTTTTACTTTACATGTTGATTAGCATGTGGTTATTCTACTGTCTTTGTATTGTAATAGTCTGCAGCTTTAAGAGCTCCTCCTTCACATATAGTTTTGTTGAGGTGCATATATCAGACACCATTTTTAGTAGATAGGTTATTTTGTGAGCATAGTCGACAGGGGAGCCAGCAGCACCTGGGATAGTCTCTCTCTTTCCCTATCCCTCCCATTCCATCCACTCATGTTTTCCCCTCTCCTCACATCCCCCGCTTTTCCCATCTTTCCTTCGCCGCTCCCTTTTACCGGATAAACGGGAATTTGCCTAGATGACAGAGAATGACATCTGGAGACCTATGCTTACCAGAATGCCGAGAGCCTTCAACCAGTGAAGCCTCAGAAGCTGGCAGTCAAAACTGACCTTGCCAAGCTCATATACAGAAATTTTAGTGTAGTGCTGTCTTAACACTTTCGCGCTATCTGGACGCGCCGGCGCGTCCCGTTTCGTCTAACGCTAACGCATAGTGGACATAAAGTTGAGTCCTCTTTTAAAATATTTGTATAAAATTCAATTTTTATCCGATTTACTTTGGGTTTGTTTCAAACTGCGTGCTATGAGGCTCTCTTTCTCACCACTAGGCTGCATGGTACAATAAGTTCATGAAAGGTGTGGATAACTTCGATCAAATGGTATTTTGTCCCAAACGGGTTGCAGGTGGGTGACTTTAGCCGTTTATACTGGTAATGGTTCCCCCATATCATGTATTATATGCATATGTCTGTTTAGGGAATTTTATTCCGATCAATATACAACCAAAAATAACTGTGTGCAACAAGTATAAACTTGACAAACATAACAAAAGTAAAAACATTTCGTGTGTGTTTGACGCTCACTGATATGTTCCAGCGTTGTTTTATATTTGGCGCTATTCTAACTTACGCTTTGTTGATATTTTTTACCTATGGGCACATAGAACATTCTATTGCGAACACATTGACACAAAAATGAATGACGTACATAGAAAATTAATGTCATGAGAGTGAAATAAGTATAAACTTTCAAAGCGCCGTGCGTCGTCCCGTCACCGATACCGGGTAACAATTTCACCACTTCCCACACTCTTGCGGGCGGGCCGCATCATTATTCTACGCTTATATTCATATCACCGTGTTGGGAATTTCATTGCGAGTCCATTGATACCAAAATTAACGCTGTAGAATAAGTGTGGAGGTGATTACAATCCCAAGAGTAAAAACATTTTGTTGCTGATGGGCGCTCACGGCGAGTCATCTTCGTAGTTATTTATTTGGTGCTGGTATCCCTATACGTTTCGTGACCTTTTTTTACTGATGTTCTTCTAGAGAATTTTATTGCGAACACGTTGGTACCAAAATGAAATACGTAGCATGAGAACTAAGGTCAGAAGAGTAAAAAGAGTATACACATTTTTGTTTTTACGCTTAAGCGATAAAAACGCTGCGCGCACATTCGGCTGGCTGAGTGACCTTTGCGGAAAGCGCGAAAGTGTTAAGTTAATGCTTAAGTTGTCCGGACAAATTCTTTTTAGTGTCTCTGTGGTTCCTTTGGTTACTCAGTTACCACCTGTAATTATATAAGTGTACACACAGAGATCACACTAACGTGATGCATCAAATGAACAAATCCACAAGGGCCGTGACGAGGATTCGAACCTGCGTCCGGGAGCATCCCAGACACTGCCTTAATCGACTGAACTACGACAGGGTTAAAAGGGTTGAAACCAAAGTTCTACTGAACTTACTGGATCCCGTAGCCTCTCCGAGGCACAAACCAGGCTTTTACACAACCCCCCTGCACCCGAGCTATGTCAATAGGCCGTTCTCCCTCTTCGCCCTTACATCATCACACACACACACAGATCACACTTACGTGATGCATCAAATGAACAAATCCACAAGGGCCGTGATGAGGATTCGAACCTGTGTCCGGGAGCATCCCAAACACTGCCTTAATCGACTTAATCGGGGAAGGGGGAGCCCCCAGACCCTCCACGCTGGCTACCCACACCTCAGTTCTTGAGGCTGATGCTATAGGCAATGGTCGTGTGCTCTGGCTCCGGTGTCGCTACTGCACTGTGCTTTGCGTGTAGTGTTTGTTTTGTGGGTGCGAGAGCCAGGAGTTATCTTCAGTACTCGGGCTACATGCGCCTAGGGCTGCCTTCCCTAGGTGCCCTGTAAGTACTGCCCTTGGGGCTTGGGGCCACCTTCCACAGGCTCCTCGGGGTCTGCCTCTGCTGGTCCGTTTTACCTTTTGGTTTTTCGGCCGCCTGTTGGGCTCTTGGGTGTTCTGTTCTCCCTTGTTACCGGCAGGTAAGAGGCAGTTTGCACTGGTAGGGGCGCAGGGTGCTGCTCAGCTTGTAATTCCCAACATCGCGGCCGGCTCTGTTCTTTGGGGTTCGCTGTCCTCTTGCAGGGTTTTGTTTTTCTTTTTGTTTTGCCTGGTGGGGGGTTCTTTCATTTTATTCAGTTTGTTTTTGCCCTTCCACTGTTCTCCTCAGTGGCGCCCCCTGCTAGGTCCCCGTGAGTGTACACGTCCCTGGGGTTCAGCTATAGAAGTTCGCATGGTAGTTTTGGGCGCCGGTTTGCAGCACCCTGCCTGGGACTACATGAGCGCGAGTCCTCTTAAAGTAAACGCTCAGGACCCTGAGAATCCCCTAGGGGGGCGCGTGGGTCCGATGGATGTGACCCCGAAGTCCCCACTCGCTGTGTGCAAGTTTGAGGGTTGCTCGGTCCCCTTGTCTCAGGGTGACCCTCATTGTTTTTGCCTCTGCCACGCTGCCTGTTGGGTCGGTGATACTTTCGACCCTGAGTCCTGTGAGTGTTGCTGCTTGCTTGTGACTCAATTTACCCAATCCTCTGACAATTCTCTTCGGGTACAGGTGGCGCGTGCGTTGCAGTCTAGGTTTCGTCTGTTGCAATGCGCTCGGTTGGTTGCTCACCCAGATGCCCCGGGGCTGCCTCGCTTTGCTTTTTGAGACCCGGACTTGGGGGTGGGGGTCGCTTCGATCCTGGTTCAGTCCGCACCTCCTTGTCCTTCCCCTTCTGTTCGTTCTGGTCCCCCCCCTCCCTTCCCGCTGTTATTTGCGTACCGCAGCCTCTATGTATGGGGCGCGCTTTGAGTTGATCCGGTTCTGTTCTTCCCTGTTCGCAGATGATGGTGTCTCGGGTTGTCCGCCGTGTTATTGCGGCTAGCCTGCCTGTGTTCTTTCCCATGCCCGTGACGTTCGTGGCTTCACTGCTCTTGCTGCCTTCTGGGCGGCGTGTCCTTGCTGTCATTTGGGCACGGATCTTTTGGTGTTTGTACAGTGGCCTTGCTGCTCGTTGTCTCGTATTGTTCCCGGGCCCTTTCGGGGCTGTGTCGCCTTCGGTTGGCGTTTGCTGCTGGTTGTCTCACTTCCGTCGAGGGGTGAGTGGTGTCTGCCTCCTGGTTCCGTCCCTTTGACCTTCCTCTGTGGGTAGTTAGCTCCAAGAAGGTTACCTTGTTACCGTCTGTAGGTTCGGGGCGGGGTTTTGATGGTGTTGAGACTCGGGCAGTCTCGGGGAATTCCCCTTCCGGGGTAGTGATGGGGGCATTTGAGCCTGTTCCTCTTGCCGTGTTGTAAGAGTCTGCCAGTGGGCTCCCTTCCTTAGTGTTTTCACGGCTGCCCCGGTTTTCTGGTACGGCCGGGGCTTTGGGGGAATGGGCTCGGCCCCAGGGCCTGTCGTGTAGGTTCCCGGGGGCTGGGGAGGGGCTGACCTGGGGGGCCTTGGCCCCGTTGGACCCCGTGGGTGTTTTTTTATCCCCCTCTAGGCGGGGCTTGTGGTTACGCGGGTTGGGTTTTTCCTCCCCACTCGCCGTACGTGCTTTTGGGCGTCGGCCCCTCCACGGGCTCGGTTCCTTGGCCTTTGAGTCGGTTGGTTCCGTCCTGTGGGTGGATGTTTCCTCCCACCCTTTTTTGGAACGGTGTTTTCGTCATGTTTCCCCGTTCTCAGGGTTCTACGTGACTTCTGGTCTCGGGTGCGCCTGTGCCTTTGTGTGCCTTCGGGACTAGTGTTGGCTTCTGTGTTCTCGAGGGTTTGGGAAGGTTTTTCGCTACTGTACTTCCTGCATTATTGGAACATCTGTCGGCTCGTCCTTGTCGCCGTTTTGGGCTACTTGTGGCCCGCTTGGGCTACTTGTGGCCCAGTTGGGCTACTTGTGGGACGGTTGGGCTACTTGTAGCCCTGTTGGGCTACTTGTAGCCCTGTTGGGCTACTTGTAGCCCTGTTGGGCTACTTGTAGCCCTGTTGGGCTACTTGTAGCCCTGTTGGGCTACTTGTAGCCCTGTTGGGCTACTTGTAGCCCTGTTGGGCTACTTGTAGCCCTGTTGGGCTACTTGTAGCCCTGTTGGGCTGCTTGTAGCCCTGTTGGGCTACTTGTAACCCTGTTGGGATACTTGTTGCTTTGTTGGGCTGCTTGAGGCCCGGTTGGGTTCCTTTTTGGGCTCTGTCTTTGCTTCGTAATTACCTAAGTGTAATTACCTAAGTGTAGTTACAGGATGAGAGCTACGCTCGTGGTGTCCCGTCTTCCCAGCACTCTTTGTCATATAACGCTTTGAAAAAATAGTTACACCGTTTTGACAGACTCGAACACACGTCAGTTCTCATGAGAACAGATTCCCATCCGACTAGGCCATTCTGGGATTCTGGGGTCGTTGGCCGGTTTTATTGTTCCTGCTTCCTCTTTTGGCTACTTTTCTAGTGCAGTAGTCCTGGTTGGCACCTTCCCGCAGAGAGGGTTGTGCGGTTCGGCCAGCGTGTCATGCGCATGCGCTGTGGAGTTTGTTTTGGTCTGGGCAGTGTTTCAGTGCTGGTGTTTTGCGCCCTTTTTGCTACAGTGCTTCGCCTCTCGCTCTTCTCCCTGGCTGCGGTATGTGCCCCTTCGCTCCGGGGGTGTCCTGGTTCTCAGTTGTGGGGAGGACGCCACGGTTTTCCCTGT